CCTGCCGCGGGGTGGAGGTGCGGGAGCCCGGTTGCCGGTGCCTGAACTCGGGAGACGCCCAGCCGTCCCGCAAAATCGCGCTGTTGGCGTGACTTGCCCTCTCTGTAAATAGGCTTGGCTTGTTCCGTGTTACCGTTTTTCGTTTTTTTTTAATTCTACATTGCTTAGAGTCTTGTACCCTCTTATGTGTTATTTTCCCCCCTTCTGTTAAGCTGTCTCTTTCAGTTTTCTTTTTGTTCGTTTAATCATCTAATGATCGTCATGACGTACAGGATATAGATAAGTGATCACATGCACGGTGTTGTGGTGTGGCAGCTTGGAGAATATCCAAGGTTAGAACAAGAAAGGGAGCAGGCCTTGGGAATAGCTGTAAGGAAGAAAGTTCAAGGAGAATAATGCAGAGGTAAAAAAACAGCAGGTGGACTTGGCCTACAAAGAAATATATTTTCCTATTGCTCGTCTCTATTTCAGTTGTCTAAATACAGATAGATGTGTAATTCAAGTGAATTTTGGCCTGTCTTAAACAGATAGTGAAGTCAACAGTCATGTTGCGCCACTCCTAGCAGGCAAGGAAACTTTGTAAGACCAATCTTGAGGTGCTGGATTTCTGAAAACAGCTGTTAATAATTTTGCATTTTTCTCTTGATTGTGTATAAATGGTGTATTGGTATCAGGGAATAATGGAGGGAAGTTTTTACTGTTTTTGAGCTTTGATAAAAATTCAGTAACCATAAATTCTTTCAAATCAGCTTGATGTCTTGCATGAAGAGATCTACTCACGTGGGAAGTAGAAGTAGGATAGTAATTTTGAAAGAAGGTTAGGTTCAGCCAGAAGGGAATTTATTTTACTGTAGATATGTAGTTTTCAAAGAAAATCCCAGAAATCCACAGACACCTCTGAAAAGCAACTTGTACAAAATTGACAGGTTACTAAATCATAATTTCATTTATTTCTACATATTTTATTTTATATGTAATTATTTTGCTAACAAGTAAATAGTTCTGAGATGCTATTTTATAGTGCAGAAGTAACTTGATTTTTTTCCTCATCTTTCACCATATTAAAGCTGTGACAGTTATCCTAACAGTGAAATGCGTTCCGACTGGATAGATTACATGTTTATTAATTATTACTGCAGGAGAGAATGTATATAACTATAAAATGTTGTAGGCGTAAGAGATGTGATAACTCTGGTATTACCACAGGGACTGAATTTTATGAAGCTGTTTTGTATTTTATACTTTGCCAAATGGCACGTTACATCATTTTTATCATCATCAGTGTTACGTTTGTAAATAGTATGTAGGCCGAGTTTGGCTTTTAAGTGTTTGAAGATTCTGTTATGTCCTTGACTTATACAAAGTCACTCACACTCACACTTTCTAAAATTTTTGCAGCTAACTTTTCTGAGCAAGTAGTTGAAAGCTTTCCATCTGATATCTCCACTGGTATATACTATGGATGGGCCTGTGTTGGAAATGGAGATGTGCATAAAATGGTTTTGAGCATAGGATGGAATCCTTTCTATAGGAATATTAAGAAATCAGTGGTAAGAATTTTGCTTTGTGTGGGATTTTTATTATAATAAATGAGCCAGATGTTGAATTTTAATAAGATAAGCAGAATTTGATTGGTAAATGAGATCTGGAAATTCTATTTGCTCTTAGAAGTGTATTTGGTATCCATATCATATGTTTGTATTCTGAAAAGGAAATACTCTCAGTAGCCAGAGAGTATGCAGCTGTAGGTGAATAAAGTTTGTTTTCTTCTTTCTATTCCATCATTACTTAAATACTTCCATAATAAAAATTTAACAGTATTTCTGAAATGGTGATTGCATATGGCGCTGATAGCTAACTAAACATAAGCTTGATAGATGCATTGAATTTACTGGCTATGAGAGCCCTAGCATGAGCTGGAACATACTAATCTATTGTTTTCTGCAATCTATCTACGTTTCAAATAAGAGATGTTGGGGTGTCTTAATTTGTAATGATTTTCTATTAATTCTTCTGTTAAATGATGGAATCAATACATGTGGTGCTGTGGCTTGATATACAGAATAAATACTCAAAGGTACATAATAATAGGATGGAGGAGTTAGTTAAAATCCTGAGCTGTGACAGCCGTGTTTTTCTTGCTGTCAGGTGCTGGTCCTTTCCCGAGTCTTGCAGAGCTCTATTTTAATTGTTGAAAACACTTTTATTTGCGCATGAATCTCTGCTTCTAAGGTTCTAAGTGTTTGAAGACTCCGTGATGTGCTTGTCTTACGCAAATGTACACTGTTAAAAGTTTTTGCAGGTAGCTTTTCTGAGCAAGTAGTCAAAAGCTTTCCATCTGATATATATGCTGGTATATGCTATGGATGAGCCTATGTTGGAGACGGAGATGTGCATAAAATCTTACGCATTTTGAGCATAAGATGAAATGCTGTCTCAGCCTTTGCTCTTGCTTTAATTTTATCATTCAGTTCCCATGTGAGCTGGTATAAAAGCTCTCCTTAAGCCAACTATTTCAATCAAAATCTTCATAGTTATTTGGACGCATCATCTTAATAATGAAACATTAAGCTTTGTTTGTGGCTTGCTGCCTTGGAAATCTTACCTCTGAGAAGCAGTGAAGGATTTCTGCTGAGTAATGGCTTTCTTTTCTGTGTTTTTTTTTGGCTATCAGAATACTCTTAAGTGAGTAATTTTTCTTAAATTCCATGCAAAGTACAATTCTCCTTCCTAACATAAGCAAAAGCCCTAGCCTTTTAATCTTTTGCATTATACATGCTAAACTAAATGTCCCTTTTATTGGTATGTGTTGGGGAAAATTTGAATTGGGGATATTAGCTGTATGTTCACAGTGAGGGAAATAAACTCAAAGTTCATCACAGATGCCAACTTATTTCTCTTCCTTTAGGAAACGCACATTATCCACACGTTCAAAGACGACTTCTATGGAGAAATTCTTAGTATAGTCATAATTGGATATATTCGACCGGAAAAAAACTTTGATTCCTTAGGTCAGTATTACAGGTCTCCCTCAAACTGGTCTCTTATTTGTCTTATTCATGCAAGTATGGTGTCTTCACTGTCTCTCTTTTCATAATGAGATGTTTTATCTGTTAACTTTTGAAATTTCAGTAAAATGTTTTCATAAGCTAAATGTACAAACTGGTTTAATTTAAAAAACTTTGGAAGATGTGGGAGTATGTTTTTGTATCACACTAAAAAATTGTATTGTCGTGTCACTTGTCTGAGGAGTAATTTTAAAATCATGGGCTTGTCATAAGAGCATCAGCCTAGTCTTAATTTCTTTTTAAAATGCAGCTCTGTTAGAATTGAAACAGTTCATGAAACTTGGTTGATCTTTTGCTAAAATCTCTTTTGGAACAAGGAGAGGTTAGTGCTTATAATGGTGAAAAATGCAACTTTGGCATGTTTAAAAAAAAAAAAGGCATTTTAAACCCAAAGAATTTTGCCTTTCAAACCTTGTGGCAATAATTATATTCTACTTCTGTGGTGTTCTGTTCACTTGCTATTGTGTGTTCAGAATTCAAACCAACTTTTAAATATCCCTATTCTTATCTTTTTCAGAGGCGCTCATTTCAGCAATTCAGGAAGACATTGAAGAAGCAAAAAGACAGCTAGATTTGCCAGAACATCTTAAACTCAAAGAAGATAACTTCTTTCATCTGCCAGAAGGCAAAATAGCGAACAACCACTGAGCAAACCCATGCTGGTTTTAGTTTTCGCACTCCTCCCCCTCCCCCC